TACTCCTCATCTTGGTGAAAAACTATAGAGGCACGATTCAAAATGACAGAAGAAATTAGTCTTCGATTTTTTACTTCCATGGACGGAGGTTCACTATTGTTCCCGGTGCCGTTAATGCTAATGAAATACTTTAGAATATTCTTTCTTGTGCTCTTGAATAATCTGTATTCATGTTCATTTGATCATACTCATTTTTCGTGTCATATTAGTTAAACAGTATACACTAATGAAATAGTCGATAAATAAACGATCAATAAGAAAACGTTCATCTCTTTTTTTGAAGGACTTTCTGTCAAAGAGTTAAACTGTTTGATTGTCTGTCAAAAAAATAATAAACAGACAATCAAACAGCACCATCTATGATTTTAAACTGAAATAAAAAAAAATCTCGCAAGAGAGATTAATAAAATTAATGTTGTTTACATTTGACAAAACTGTCATCTCTTAAATATAAATTGTTATAACTTTTTTTTCATTTGTTTTGATAATCGACAATTTGCTCAATCATCAATACGATGGAGACTAAAGCTCTAGGTAAGACCATTCTTAATATGTCTTCTCTCATTTGTTATTGTTTTACACTCCCATTTAATCAATTTGTTTTCTTTTTTTCAGAAAATGTCACTAATGAAAATGAACCTTATGTCGGTTTATCGGCACGAGAAGAAGCCGATTTAGAGCGTTTGTTGTCCGATAAAGGATTAACAATTGAGAACGCTAAAGCTTTGACAGAACAGTTATCAAAAGAAGTCTCTTCTCTTGATTATGTCAATATTCAAGACGTTATGGCTTCTGAGAAGCGTGTGGAAGCAGTTATTGAAGATCTTCAGTCAGCAATCGACGAAACAAAAACGTTGGAAGAAAAATTAGATCACTATCAAAGCTACCTTCGGAATGTCAGAGACATTGTGCTTCAAGTCCAGGAAAAAGAGACTCTGTATCAGATTGAAAATGAAAATAGGAGAAAGCTGCTAGGAGAACTTGAATCACTCATTTCATCTTTACAATTTCCAGCTGATCAAGAAGTGTATTTGCAAAAAGGTGACATATCAACCGAGAAAGGTATTCGGATCGCCTTAGCAGCGGCAAATACTTTATCTGATTGCCTGAATGCCAATATACATCCAGCCTTACAGTATTTAAATGCTGTAAAAGAGCAGCAAAACAAACTTGGAGTTGTGCAATCTAAATTTGCAAATCGACTTTCATCCCATATCAATAACGTTTATCATCACGCCCTCAAAGAGTATGAAAATAACTCATTAAATGATATTAATCCAAGAGATTTATTATTACCTTCGCATCAAACAATACACAATATTTTACTTCCCTTCAGTCCTCTTTCCAAGTGGCTAAAAGTTAATTGCTACCTAATCCACAAAGATTTGGGGGAAGCCTACATGAATGCTGTCAGCAGGATATATCAGAAAGAAATACTTATGTATTTTGAAGCAGTAAGGGAAAAATTGACCGGAGGACGAAGCACATTATCAAGTAATGATTCAAATGAAGGAAAGAGGAAACATTTCAATGTTGTTGGATTTGATAATACCAGGTTAAGTTCGAGTTATGGTGCTACAAATTTACAAGACATGACAGATTCCATTTCAAGAAGTTCAGAGCTCAGTTTCACCGAATGGGAAGAATTTGATTCGTGTTTTGAGAAGATGTTGAATGCAATTGACCCTTTTTGTCTTGCCGAACAACAATTTTGTATAACATTTTTTGATATTGATTCGCATGTACCATTTACAGGACATCATCGACGCAATTCATCCTGGTCTTCTCAGAGTCATTCAATTTCTGTCAGTCCATCACCATCAAATCCTAGTCAAAGCAGTGGGGAAATTATTGAACCTAAAAAGTCAGAGACACTTAGGCTGCTTATGGCTGGAATATTTTCAATTTTAGAAAGTGAATTTTTGAAGTTTGTGTCATTTTACGACAGACAAGATGGCCTTTATTCAATGTATCTTTTAGCCCGATTAACCCAACATGTTCTTTCAACTCAAGATACGGGAAGTTTTTTGGCTAAAACTTATGGGACAATATTAATCCAGGTGAAGCGTAATTTCGATAAGTTTATGCAGGCCCAGAAATCTGCAATCGAAGATGCCAAAGTTCCGAAAAAGGCCAAATGTGGTGTTTTAACTTTTATCAGAGGCTTTGAGCAATTTGCTAAGCAAGCTGAATCAGTATTCAAAGGTGTCTCTGCTCGACGAACTGACATTGATCGCTGGTATGTTACATTGATTCGAACAATGTTTGACGCTATCGACAAACTTTCCATTGATCACCATAAAACACCAAGTGAAATAATTCGACTAGAAAATTATCATTATTTACACAACGTGCTCTGCACCTTAAAGATACAATGTTTAGAGGGCGAAAAAAAGGAAGCTAAACAAAGATACAATGAAGCTTTGAAGGACTACGTTTCTAGATATTTTGGTCGTCCCTTGGAAAAGTTGAACACGTTTTTTGAAGGTGTCCAGATGAAAGTTAATCAAGGTGTTAAAGCCGAAGAGGTTGGCTACCAATTAGCCTATAGTAAACAGGAGCTGCGAAAAGTCATCAAAGATTGTAGTTTGAAAGAAGTACGAAAAGGTTTGGAAGAAATGTATAAAAAAGTAGAAAAGCACGTTTGCGAACCAGATTCCACCTTGATTCAAGTTATTTGGCGATCTATGCAAGAAGAATTCATTTCTCAGTACAAATCTTTACAAGAAATGATTGAAAAATGTTATCCCGATGCTAACATAACACTTTCCTTCACAATTGAAGATATTTTGCAAGTTTTTTCAGATATTGCCCAGTCACACTAATGTTATAAAATAAATTAAACTAATTAAATAAAATTTGATAAATTGTTTACAGATGAAAAAATTGCTGTTTTATTTATTCAGCAAAAATTTGAATTGAATAGGGCGCTCTGAAGACAGTATTGATATCAGAGTGTATCGGATCTCTTTTGATTTAAATCCCTCACTTGTTCGCCATTACAATACAGTTTTTGTTCAATATAATTTCAATTGTGTTATTCCGTTTAATTAATTGATTAAATCGTCTTTGTATTTGACAATCATGGCCTCCAATTCACAAGCTTTGACTGTTTATCGTGAACTAGTAGCTGAATTCAACCGAAAACCACCCAAACTTGATAATTGTCTTAAACTTCTTGACAAACTAAAGATCTTATTGACTCAATTGTCATTTCTACCCACCAACAATCAAGTCAATAAGCAAGATTTGATTATTAGCCGAGACTGTTTGGAGATGGGTGCACAGATCAGTGTGGCTTGTAGAGACATAGTAGCATTCGAGCGATATCTATCGCAATTGAAATACTACTATTTTGATTTCTGGTAAGTGTTATTGTTAAATTGTCATTTCTCACTATTGACTTGATTTCTCATTTATTTTCTTATTACAGTGATGAGCTACCAGAATCTGCTTACAAATACCAACTGCTTGGATTAAATTTATTGTGTCTTTTATCTCAAAACCGGGTTGCCGAGTTCCATACAGTAAGCTGATCACTTCAAGATTGCTCAGCAATCATTGTTATAATATTTTACTAATAATTTTTTGCTTTTCTTTTTCTTTTTTAAAGGAGCTTGAACTGCTTCCAGCTCATGAAATTCAAAACAACATCTACATCAAACACCCAGTCAACTTGGAGCAATGGTTGATGGAAGGTTGTTATAACAAAGTTTTCTTATCAAAGGAGAATGTACCAGCTGAAAGTTATGGCCATTTTGTGGACATTTTACTTGACACCGTGCGTGAAGAGATAGCTAATTGCTTAGAAAAAGCTTATGGAGCAATCAGCATTCATGAAACTAATCGCATACTCTTCCTGAATAACATCAGCGATTTGAAGCAATTCGCATTTAAAAGAAACTGGAAGATAGATGACAAAATGCTCATTTTTGATGCTGCCAAGGAAAGCAAGCCTGTATTTTCATCTGAAATTCCTTGTGAACAATTAGCCTGTAAAGCACTAGAATATGCAAGGGAACTTGAAATGATCGTTTAAATTTTCTAGTGTACGAAGTTGGCGATTTAAAAAATAAAAATTGATTACAATAAGATCATGATTGTTTTAGTAATAAAAGATTATGCGCAATTTTCTTAATTTGTTTTAATTTATTTATTAATGATCGCTGATTTAATTGCTTTTAAATCTTCTAAATCGACTATTTATTTGACATAGCGCCATTCAGAAAATAAAATAGCCAGGTTGAAGTGCAATTTTAATATTCTTTGTGCTGTAACCTTTCACTGTTTGAAACCTAATAGTTTCGTAAAATCATGAACATTAGCTCTTAGATCTTCTATTGTTTCTTAATTACCATTTGTCTAAGGAATTCGAGTAAAAAATGGCCAAATCTTTCCTTTGCAGCATGAGGTCGGAAGACAAACCCGATGTGAATTGTAGCATTGTAACGCAATGAAAACCAATGTGGATAAAGAGTTTGGTTGATTGGTAAAACTGATGCTGAGCAATAATGAGTTTCTTGGATCGTTAAGCATTGACTATAGCCTTCGAAATCCGAGTATGATGATTCAAAAACTTTGAAGGTATTAATCGAGTCGTGATTAATATTGAAAACAAACAATAGATCAAGTTAAAGATAAAACACAAATAATTCAAGTACAGAATAGTAATATTTCGAAATGGTATAATTTGGAGCGATCGATAGTCAAAGTATGACTGGTGAAACTTAGGCCAAGCATGAATTAAAGATCATATTGATACTATTATAATCATATTTAAGTCTCAATTTAAGTCCGATGTAATTGAAGATGAAGTCAAAATTAGGTACCGAACATTAGATCCATTGTAAAAGGTCCTAAGAAGTACTTGGAATGAACATAAAGGAAATTTTGGCATGGCGAATGGACTTTTAAGGCACTTAAGATCTTTGCTGAACTGATGCCGAAACTTTCTCAAAGGTCTTTAAGCTATTATTAATAATTTTATTTAGGTCTCAATACATTATTAAGTTAAAACATTGGGTTTTGTTACTAAAAAGACACAAATAGCAACAATTGTTGCTTTTATGCACAAATTGAAACAAGTTGACAAAACACTAATGGTGAAATGGGCAAAAACGGGCAATGATTAACTTTTTGCAAATTTGAACTCTGTTAGCTTGCAGGGAATTAAAAACTGAATCCATTAGTTCGGTTCTGAAGCTTCTCCGATCTATATTCTTCGAGAAAATCGGGTTCAAAGTTGAAATTTCGATCGCTTTTTGTACAATAATGGAAGCAGATTTTTTCATGAAACTTCATTGTGCAGATGTTATTTTTGATAATGAATCAAAAAATGAACTTATTTTGAGAAATAAAATATCTCATTTTCTTTGAAACAGATAAGTTCGATTTTCACTAAAACTGAACTTTTTTTGTGACCGTTTAAGTTAGAGATCTGAAACTTGTGATTCATCCATAAAAATCAGTTAGACACACCATGGACTGAGCGATTTTTTCAATTCATCAACAGTTTTCTCGATTTCGGCCATAAATCGGAAAACTTTGATCCTCGATATTTCGAGAATGGTGACACCTACAATCATCATCTCTTGCCCAAACGATACGTTTTATAATGGACTAAAACATATTAAACTATTGTATTATTCAAGGTCTGTCCAAAAAAGTTATAGCATTTTATTGCATATGTTGTCAAATTGAAAATTCATTCGTAAAGTTAAATGGTTACTCAAACACAAATCTAGTTTGTTGAAAGGATATTTATTATTCAAAATTTTCAGTCACATTACATTATTGTTCATTATAAAATGTATTGTTTGTGCAAGAAATGATGATTGTGGGTGCCATCATTCTCGAAATATCGAGGTCCAAATTTTTCCAGTCAATGACCAAAATCGAGAGAACTCGATCGGAGATCGGAGAAGTTTTTTCACCGTTCTAATGGATTCAGTTTTTAATTCCCTACAAGCTGACAAAGTTTAAATTCACAATAAGTCAATTATTACACATTTTTGCGGATTTTTGTTTCAGCGTTTTGTCAATTTGTGCATAAAAGCAACAATTGTTGCTATTTGTGTCTTTTTGCTGCTTTTATGCACAAACTGACAAAACGTTGAAACAAAAATGGGCAAAAACGGGTAATTATTATTAATACTAATTTCTTGCAAGTTTGCATTCTGTAAATTTGGAGAGAATTAAAAACTGAATCTATTAGAACGGTTAAACAAATTCTCAGATCTATATTCTTCGAGAAAATAGGGTTCGAAGTTGAAACTTTGATCGCTTTTTGTACAATAACGGAAGCAGATTTCTTGATGAAACGTCATTGTGCAGATGTTATTTTTAATGGTGAACCAAAAAATGAGTCTATTTTGAGAAATAAAATATCAGATTTTCTTTAAAACAGATAAGTTCGATTTTCACTTAAAACGAACTTTTTTTGTGACCGTGTAATTTAGAGATCTGAAACTTATGATTCATCCATAAAAATGAGTTGGTCAAACGATGGACTGAACAATTCTTTCATTTTATCAATAGTTCTCTCGATTTTGGTCATTGACTGGAAAACTTTGGACCTCGATATTTCGAGAATGGTGACACCCACAATCATCATTTCTTGCTCAAACAATACATTTTATCATGAACAATAATGTAATGTGACTGAAAATTTTGAATAATAAATATCCTTTCAACAAACTAGATTTGTGTTTGAGTAACCATTTAACTTTACGAATGAATTTTCAATTTGATTACACATGCAATAAAATGCTAAAACTTTTTTGGACAGATCTTGAATAATACAATAGTTTGATATGTTTTAGTCCATTATAAAATCGAATATTTTGCTGTAAGAATTGTGATTCTGAGATTATGGATCAAATGAGTTTCTGATCTCAAGGTTTATCCATGTAGTCCTTTTTAAATTGAAATTTTCTCAACGAAAAAATTCATTGCAGTATCATCTTTAGAGCTTCATTAATTATTGTTTTGAGTTTATCTTGATCGTTAGGTGATTAGTCTAGTCATTTTTGGTAGCATTTGACTCATGTTTTCGGGGGATCAATGCTTGGTGAACTTGCCTATTTATCTGCAATCGAGTTCAATCAGTACGAATTGGGTGTGTTTTCAGTGAAATCGGTGTACTACCGATTCTTTTTGTAGGAGGTGATCAAAGGAATTATCTTAGCAAATTAATGAATCATCGATTAAAAAGGTCTAAGGGTCAAAAGGCTTTTCAAATATAAATGAACATTGGAATTAGATAATTGATAATTAAAAGATTCTATATTTAACTCTAACATAAGTTGTTATATTAGTTCAGTTGATTCAACCGTCTAATGTTCAGAATGATTGAGATAAAAATGAAGATGTTTAGGAAACAATACAAAGCAATTTATTCTCATATGACTTTGACCGTTTTCATTGTTATCAATTCTTACTCTGGGAAAGATGACTGTTTCAAATAAAATAGTCAACTGATGCACATTTCACAGCTTTTATTCAACACCCTTTAAGTTATTAAAGTCAATTTATCATGATTAAATCGCTTCGGGGTTCACCCAATTGTAATCTCACAGATCTTGTAAAATATATAAATAAATATCTCATCAATGAATTGGTTTAACTCTCGTTTAACACGTTAACTACAACTTTTACCTCATAAATTATCAAACTTAAAGTTCCTTAATTGCTTTTTCATTCATGATTTGTTAACCTTGACCCAAAGTTAACTTGAATTTTTATCTGCTTCCTTTTCAAGGTTCAACGCACTTGTGTTTACTTGAATTTTGTGAAATATCGACTGTAATAACTGTTTCCAGTAATAAACAACCTCGTAAAAAATAAGTCCATTAGACAACAATTAACATCGGAAGCTTGGCGAGTCAGCAGTTTTTCCCATTGAGTTTCCCTTTGAAAGCTGATTGTTTTCATCTAGGTGAGGTGAGTCTAGATATTTGATTCATTTGACATTTTCAGCCTTGAATTGATTTATTTGTTGATCAACTCTTTGAAATGCCTTTGCATTATAATGAACAGAGGTTTATAATGAATTATTTATTCGACTGGAAAAATTGATCTGGAAAAACAACTATTATGAAGGAAAGATCATGAGATATCATGTGGATAGTGATGACGATGATGAAGAAGAATTAAGAAGAAAAATGGAAGAAAAAATGGGAGATGAACTTTGTTAGTAACCCACCTGTATACATTGATGTAACAGTCATTTGTGGATGTGAGTTGGTTTGACTTGTTTGGAGATTAGTGTTAACCCATCTTTCTCTTCCTGGATTTTTGTGCATTTTAATTATTTTGTTTTAATTTTTTGTGTTTTAAATCAATTTTATCATCGTATTGTGTTTTCATTTTTGTTTTAAATTAGATTTCATCTTTATAATAAGATCAAAATGTCTTCCCTTTTAACAAAATTTGCTCCTCTTCGGTCATCTGGTTTGCTTAGCCTTTCTCGCCCTTTGTTGTTTACCTCAAAGCTTCATGCTCAAGCAAGCAAATTTGATGACAAACGTGAGTCACAAGGACTTTGTTTTGAACATTCTGAAGAATCTAAGAGTTACATTGAACTTGCTTCTAAATTTGTGAGGGATGAGATTATACCCAAAGCTGGACATTATGATAAAACTGGTGAATATCCATGGGATGTTATTAAGAAAGCTCATTCACTTGGTTTGCTCAACCTATTTGTGCCAGCTCAATATGGCGGACCTGGACTTTCACTGGTGGATAATTTGCTAATAAGTGAAGAGATTGCTTATGGTTGTACAGGTATTGGAACTGCATTTATTACCAATGCTCTGGCTGGGTCACCTATTTTATTTCATGGATCTGAAATGTTGAAAAATAAATACCTTGGATGGCTTACATCTGAACCCATTATGGCTTCCTATTGTGTCACTGAACCAGGAACTGGTTCTGATGTATCTGGTTTAAAAACAAAAGCTGTCAAGGTTGATGAGAAAAATTGGGCTATTAATGGGCAAAAAATGTGGATAACTAATGCTGGAATGGCCTCTTTTTATTTTGTTTTGACCCGAACAAATCCTGACCCAAATGCTAAGCAAAGTGAAGCTTTTACTGGATTTGTTGTCGACAGGAATACACCTGGAATTACTGTTGGCCGTAAAGAGGAAAACATGGGCCAGAGGTGTTCAGATACCAGAGGGTTAACCTTTGAAAATGTTATTGTACCATCAGAAAATATGGTTGGACCTGAAGGTAAAGGTTTCATTGTAGCCATGTCAGCGTTTGACTTTACTCGACCTGCTGTTGCTGCTGCGGCTGTTGGTTTAGCAAGAAGATGTCTCGATGAAGCGTCTAAATACGCATTGGAAAGGAAAGCGTTTGGTCAGGTAAATTCATAATTACTGTTAATATTAGAGAATGTTTTGATTATATTACTAACAATTTAATCGTGGATAAAATTCAAACCAGGCTAATTTATTTTTTGTTTTTTGATTTTTTTTCTTGTAGCCTATTGCAAACTATCAAGCAATACAATTTAAATTGGCTGAAATGATGATTGGAGTTGAAACTGCTCGATTAGCTTATCTTAAAGCCGGCTGGCTTCATGATCGAGGTGAAAAAAATACACTTATGGCTTCAATTGCTAAATGTTATGCTGCTTCAATAGCCAATCGATCAGCAACTGAAGCTGTCCAAGTTTTCGGTGGAGCCGGATTTAATTGTGACTATCCCGTTGAAAAGCTTTACCGAGATGCCAAAATATTGCAAATCTATGAAGGAACTGAAGAGATCCAAAAAATTGTGATTGCCAGGGAACACATTAAACATATGAAAACATTAGCACATTAAGCATCACCTTCATGATTACCGATCAATCATTATATCAATCATCATCTGGAAAACTATTTAATACAATGTATTATATTTATGTTAATTATTTTCATGTATATTTTATGAATGAATCAATTTTACATTATTTTATCCCTATTCACATGTTAAATTTTTTCATGCGCAATGCTCTTGATTTGAGTCCGAACTGATCTGATTTCTTAAAAGACAAAGAAAAGAACGTTCAATTTCTAAGAATGAGTGTTCATTTTTAAAACTCAAGCTGAATTCCCATGTCAGACAATTTCATTCATCATCTCTCATCTCAAACGAATAACAAACTTAATTAACTTGAATGAGAAAGCAAGGTTACACATCATCATAATCATCAAAACAAGATATTATCATAACAGGATATTATTCAATGATAAACTGATTAAAATGAACTAAAGTTAGAAAATAATCAATGAAAGGTAATTATTTCAAATCAATGCAATTTTTTAAATTATTTTATTATTCATTGATAAAGATGAAAATTGAGTTATTTTTTTGTTTTGTGAGCTTTTGTGAAAATGGCGAATCACTGATCAAGAAATATACATGGTTATCAGGATACCAAATCTTAATGTGCATTGAATAATGAATTGAGTATTTTTTTCCTCTTGGCCTTCAGAGTATATTATCAAATTGAATCATCTGGAGGATGCTTTCTCCTTTCTTTCTCATCGCTTCCTCAATAACGAAATCCATTCTTATAACTTTTATTTTATTTTGACGAGATCCGAATGACATTAAGCGATCAAAAGACGATTCGAGTGGGTACCCGGAAAAAGTACGTTTATCTGGACGATGACTTGGTCCTGTAATGAAAAGAGACGCTGGAATCCATTTGAATTTGCCATTGGCATTTAATAATTTTCGGTTCGTTGGTATCAAATCATGAAGGCTTTTGCTTGCAAGAGTATCCATCTAAATTAGTTGTAAAAGGTGAGATGAGAAAGGTTGATTAGAACTTGAAGATTACAAATTATATTCAAAGATTTACCCAAATTTTAGTTGTATCACTTTCCAATACGAGTTTATGTAGAAATTCTGTTAATGAGTTGTAATCCCACAGTTCGATAATGCCATCAGGATAGACACAAGTATTTAAGTATTCACGAAGCTCACGAGTTATCAAGGATGAATCCATAAATAGACTGTTAAAGTGGAAAGGTTAATATTTGACTGAAATTGTTTCTTATAGGTATTTAACAATGAACTTACTATATGGTCTTCATTGAGATAATGGCACAACCTTGGAAGGCAACGTCTTGTCCATTGACTTGAGATTGAATTTTTAACAGAAAACAAACTTCTTCTGAGTAAGGTATTACCATGTAATCAGCCTTTTCTTTCCTCATTTTGTCTCGAAATTTTTTTATCGTTATTTTAAAGCTTTCAACAGACTCGCAAGGATCAGGTGTTATTGGATTCATTGGTGGTAATGGTCTATTAGTCCAAATGAGATCAACAGGATTAGGTGAAACAGGGATCAATTTATTATCTTTAGGTTGTAAAAAATCGATGAGAAATTCCCAAATTGTATGAGAAGTTATCTTAGGATCAAATCCAACCCTAACTCCTTTTGGCAACATGGTAAAGGAACGATAATACGACTTGAGTAAGATAGGACTTACGTCGGATACAATAAAAGTCCAGTCAGGATAGAGTTGACTCATTACTTGATCGTAAAAGTCAGGATCACAAATGAAGAAAGCATTTTCCATAGTTACAATGGCAAGTCCATGTGAACCAGAGAAACCAGTCAAAAATTGTATGTACCTATCTCTATCGGCAATATTTTTAGGAGTTATCCAATCATCACAATAGATCACAAATGCGTCCAATGGTCCATCATTGTAAGATGACATAAAATCACGGATTTTAGTCAATTTGTCAGTCATATTTCATAAATTGATAAATCAATTTAAATCTATTTGAAATATAAAAATAAACAGTTTAAAGGTAACACTTTTCAATTGACAAACTACAATTGTATTCAAGTTGAACGCATACCGGCATGGATTGTTTCATTATTTCACTCTAGACAGTAATATGGGTATCGAATATCGGACTCGATATGAAGAGCGGCACATTCAAGCTTGAACCCAAAAAGTATGACTGACAGACTTTTTAAGGCGAAAAGGTTCGTTTACGTTTGCTATACAAACTGGTTTAATTTAATTGATTCTATTCTCTCAATTTAAGGCTCTAAAATTTGATTCCTTAAATTGTCCATTTAACCTTCCTTCACTATTGCCATTACTCCTTGGATTATTTTATCATAATTTTTGGCGGTTGTGTTTAATGCTATTTGAATTTGCTAAAATTAAAATATTTTTTTGATTCTCCTTGCTTCTCATTTTTGCCTCAGTATTATCTGTTTTTCACCATCTTTCATCGTAATAAATAAAGTTTGGTAGTTTGATGATGATGGTGATGTCATTGAAATCACATTCATATTCGCATTGGAAAATTTGTTGTCAAAATCAAAGCTTCGTCATTTCCAGTCGAGGTGAATATAAAAATAAACCAATGTTAAACCATTGTTGTTTACTATTTCTTGATTACGTCTTTTCTGTAAAATGCGATCATATTACATGTACCAATTATGAAAATATGATTGTCAATGGGCTATCAAAAATTTCTTCGATTGAAGTAACTCATCTGCATTGATCTAAATTTGGTAACAATGAATTCCTCATGAAAGCCAATTGCGGTAAAAATTAGTGATAACACATGGATGACTCTTAACAATGAATAAACACTAAATAAAATGACTCTTTTACTGTTTCTGTCTTTTCACACAGATTTTGGTGATTTGAAAAGGTTTTGTTTTTTCTGACGTTACTTCTATTCTTCCAGGAAAAACTGTAATAATATTAACCAGAACAATTAATGGACAAAATGTAAATCAATTGATTATCGTTAGACAAAACTAATTCAAGAAATCGAAAAAAATTACTTTACTGGCGCCATCTATGGTTCTGACTATGAACGATTTATTTCAGAAAATCAGAAAAAAGTGTTTAAATATTCTCTAATGAATGGAATTGGAATTATTTTAAATTGTTTTTGTCCAATATTTTGTGCACAATATATCTGACCAAAAATGATCTGAAATTGAGTGAAGTTTACAGAAAAATCTGAAATGTTCGAGACTGATAAGAGGGTTGAATTAGCAACATTGAATTGAAAAATAAACATTGTTTGGTGGGAATGATATAACAATTTGTTAAACACCAGAAAAGATAGGAAATAAATGGAGTAAATTTATGAAAATCAAGAGTTTTTTGGTGAACGAATAAAAAAAGAGAAAAAGAAAGAGAAGAAATTGATGTAAAAAATGTGCGCAAAATCGGGCAACAAAAATGGACCAAAAAAGCTAGAAAAACATGAAGACGATGATGATGATAATGATGATTTTGGGTGAAGATGAAATTGGGAGTTAAAAAGTAACTTGGAGTTAAAAGAAAGACAGAGTCAAAGTGAGTAAAGGATTGAAAAGAGAAGGATGATAAGTGAGTCTTGTTTCACTCTCTTTCTGTTTGAGAAAAGGTTCAGGCTTTTGTTCATTTCATTCACATTTTGGAAATGTCATGGATGCAGAGAATGGTGATGAAATTATCTAGAAATAAGAAGATTGGAGAGAGAGAGAGAAAAGAAAGAGATGATGAGAGGAAGAAAGAGAGAGAGAGAGAGAGTTGAAATAACGAGTAAAAAAAGATGAAGACTATTTATTATCTGTTGAAGTGAAACATCAAATTCAAGTGAAAAGACAATGAATGTTTCTTGGTTCACCTAAACATCAAAAGGTTTACAATGGATGCAAAATTAAATTTGATTATTTAACGTTATTATTCAATAGTTATTATACCAATGTTACCATGATGATGAACCTCAACAAATTATTGCCAATTGTTCAATTTAATAACATGTAAAGTGAGCTTGGAGATAAGCTAAAACAAGTTGATCAGTTTACAAAACTGTTGTTACTTTTTTCTTGTTGTGTCTTCTGTTTTACATTCTCGTTACTTGGTTCCTTGTTCATTCTAACAGTTAACATGTTTTTGTTGGGTTAAAAATATTGATTATCATTATTATGACAACATTGTTTCCATCAGTGTCACTGTTTAATTGTGAATTTGTGCAACTGTTAACAGCCTTTGGTCGCTTTGTTGATTATTGTGTTTATCCTTTTGTTTCACTTTCAACGGTTTTTTTCCAATTTACTATGTAACATTGTTACTCATCTGTTAACTGTTTTGTGCCAAACGCCATACTTTCCATTGTTTCTCTCCTTCTTTCTTTTGTTTCTACTTTTATTAACCAACTAATTCTTGATCTTAAAAATTTAACAATTTGTGATTCTATCGATAGTTTTAATTAAAATAGTATCAATAATTTAATAATTGAAATAATATTGTTTCTGTGCCAACAACAATGCTTAATCTAATTTGTTTCTTGTTACCAAGCAGAAGATGACTTATATTGGCAAAATGGATCAAGTGTTGATTAAAATGTCTCGTATAAAGTCACTTCTAATGAAGCCCCCAGCCATTTTTACTGAAAATAGCAATCATCAACGCCATCATCATCATCGCCCAGCTCGTCGATCAACATTCAGTTATTGGTTGCTTTTATTAATCACAAAGTATCTTGTAACCTTTGCTTTTGCATCAACTTCATTCTCGTGGTCAATGGAAGAGGATCGTCGGTTTTACATTCCAAACAATTACCATCCGTACCGAAATATTAGATCACATGGACCATCACCATCAAACTATCAAACTCAATTTGTTTCGGTGAAAGATGATGAAGAAGAAGACAGTGTCGATGCAAGGATGAGAAGCAAAGAAGCTCAAAAGACCAATTTTATCAATCCAAATAGCATGAGAACTCGAGGTCCACCAAAGCAACCAATGACACCCGAAGATATGATTCAATACATAGATCGAGTTACACGTGGTGAATTTTGCCTTCAATCACCTAACCATGGATCTGATGAATTAATCAGACGATCAAATTCACCCTCACTATCCATCTCCACACTAATGAGCCAAGACGATCGACACCAGTTGACCAATAATAACTTTAACAATCCATCATCATCAATGCTTTATAATAATTTACTAATGTCCAGTCAACAAGCTTCATCGCCCTCTTCCTCTGGAACCCTGGCAACACCTCATCATCATCACCCTTTCTATGCTTCCTCACCCTCTCGTGATATACCACCTCAATCGTTACGCTTAAAGTACAACCAGACTGCGGCTCGAGTTGACCTTTTAAATGCAATACTCATTGACTACAAGCCCAATGAAGATGGTTATCGATTTTTAAAGAAATCTTTTCATGAAATGATTAACCTTGATAAAGATATTATCCATGCTCGTATCATTTGGCTAAGTGAGAGTAACACCACCGCCACCAATAACAATAATCCAAGAAGTAATAACAATAGTGAAGGACGGTTGAATGGGCAGTTTCAGGAATCCAATTTTAGACCCTTAAATACAGAGAATACAATCAATTACATTAAACCAGTTTATTATTATACGGCTAAACGTAAACGAACCTTTTTCACCTTAAATATTAATCGAACCATTTCACCGTATGAACCCTGGTTTGATTTTGAATTTAAATCAGCCAACCAAGAACGTCTCTTTGACCATCTACTGGTCCAGCAATACATTCCTCGATCTCAATTATCATCATTTTTATCCTTGGATTCACCAACAAGTGTCCAACAAAATCCAACACCAACAGCAAACAACAACATGAACCAAACCGGCGCCCTGGTCAACCCTAATAACAAAAATAGCAATAAAAAGGAACATATTACCAACAATAATGAACTTAATAATGATAATAAAAATACCAACAATAATGAAAATAGTAATAAGGAGAGAAACAATAACAACAATAACAATAATAATAAATTTAACAATAAGTGTCCTAAATTTACAAGCTGGACAAATGCATATTATTCCTGTGATTACCAGATTTGGCTATTTTCATATACATCGTTAATCATCTTTGAGTCAATTGATTCTTGTATCCTTCGAGGTATCATCTCGGTTGATATTGATATTGGTAAAATTGATATCAATCAATGTGACCATGCATCGATTGAGACCACAATTCCGCTTCTTGGAACTCACAAATGTCATCGACCAAGCAGCAAGGTGAGCCTTTCCCATAGACACCTTGAAATACAATGAAATAATAATCAACTTCAATCCCAAGCCAATCAACAATCAAACCAATTCCATTTTCAGTCGATATTTTACTCAACTCATGACAAGTAAACTGGTTATAGTTGATTGTTATTAAGCTCTTTATATTATCAAATTTAATTTAACCTAATCCATTACATACATTATTTCACTTCAATTTAGGCATTTTCGCTTTCTCTCAATCCATTGAAATAATGATGAAACTAGAAAATGATATTGATCACTGAACCATTATTAATAGTTACCTTTAGGCTCATTTTTTACTATCAAATTAATGTCATCACTGAATAATGATTGCTATATTGAATATTATCAAATGTTAACAATTTATGGTTAACATTTTCAGTTGCTTTGTTATACAATTTTTTTCTTTCATCAATTTTTCATTTCCATCCTTTCAGCTCTTGATTATTCCTTTGTTTGATGAAACAATTTTGCCTCATGATTATCCTCTTGTCAATAATATAATATTAATTGTTTACCATTTTTAAGTACAATCATTGGCTGTTGAAAACTTAATCATTGTCTGATTGTTGAATTGACTGAATCAGTCAATACAAGGTAATGACATTAAACCTGCAACCACAACAAAAAGGCAAAACCTAAAATGGTTTGTCAAAATGAAAACTCAAATGAAAATAAATTGCTCCAAGAATCGTCTGTAAACTTGAATTCACTCAATTCAATGATTAACGACAATTTATCAAGTAAATGGTTCCCATAAATCCGCCTTAAAATGTGTCCAAGCAAATAAAAATGGCCAACTCTAATCCAGAGGTTTATCCAGTCCAGACTTTAGTCAACCTTTCAACTTAGCAAAAAAATTGACCCCAAATCAGCTTGATTGTTCAATTGTTTAACTTGATTTAACACCAAAAGCCTGACTATCGGACAAAATTTGACAACAGAAATGATTCTTGAATGATTGCAATTTCACTCAATCTCATTCATTTCAAATCTTTTTTACCCAATTTCTGGTTGATTGTCACTTTCATTTTTCCTTAGATGCTTATTGAATGATAACCCAAAAACAAGTCACCGACAGTCAAAATATTGATATAACAAGTAAATAACAATAAAAGTAAACATTTTAATATATTGAATGAATCAGATTGATGGGTTGACATTTGCATTAGTTAGACATTATCATTGAATTCATTGAAATCCATGTTTACATTGAATTATAACCATTTCTTGTTGTTAATATTTACGTTCATTTGACTTTCATTTGACAGTCAATTATAAATGAACTGATTGACAACAACACGTCTCTTCAATATCAAATTCACCGAGAAATCAATTTTGATAAGCAAATTAATTACTTGTTATTAATTAAAAAAAACAAGTCAATGCTGTTAATTACCAAAAAACCAAACCCATTAATATAAAGCTTACAATTTGCTTTTTCCTAATTCCTTTGCTCATTATTGATGATTTAATGATATTGGCTACAGATTTACATTGAAACAATCAAAAGAAAAATTAAATTCATTCCTTTATTTTGTTCATTAAAAAAGGTAAATGCAATATTGATATTATAATCAATAGCAAGCAAACAATATTAAACCATTCATTATCTTCATTGTTTAATATAATGAATGGTAAATGTTGAGTTTACCTTCACAAATTATCTGTTAATTTATTTGCTTCTTTACAATTGAAACTCACATCTCAATGAAATATTCAAAGGGTTTATTTCCCATTAAACAGGAAGATAAAAAAAAGAGTAAATTCAATTTTTCTACTTTTCTCATTGAAATAATATACATTTAGCTTCTTTTCATGGCAAAATCCTAATCGATGTTTTTTTCAATTTTCATCTCATTCCTCTGAGTGTGCTCGGCATCATTTTCATTTCCGTTTCTTTCATCTTCCTCTTGATCATCTTCATCATTTTCATCATTTTCCTTGTTTTTCTTTTCTCCATTTCTCAAGATGAGTTTCACCAAATTCAGTTTATCAATGTTGTTCCAACAAAAGTTGAAATAAATGTTGAACAAAAATGAATTTTAGTTATTAAAAGACATTTCAAGTTAAATTCAATTTCACACTTAAGATTGTTTTTCATTTAATTTCATTTAACTTCAATCAAAACCTTGGACCTTTGGACATCATTTTATTGACTTTGTCTTTTCCTTTTCTTCTTGTTCCACCAAAAATTCATAAGCTTGGTAAAACAAGATTTTTATCATGATTACATGAGAAAATGCATGTTTTTGTTTCCATGATAAAAACATTGACTGTGATCAAACAGTTGTAAGAAACGAGAGAAAAATCGAGACATTTTTTGATACTTTTATTGTTGTTTTGTTTGGAAATTTTGGGCAGAGAGAAAAAGAAGAAAATGTTGAGAACAAATTCTGGTTGCTGAGTGGAACAACAATTAGATTATTATTGATGCTGTCAACAAAAAGACAAACACAACTGGAATACCTTTTCATCCTTTTCCTCTCTGTAACATCTTCATCTCCATCCTTCCGCTAAATCATCATTTCTTATCATTATTATCAGTCAGGGAAAAACATTCAAATATAATAAGTTCAATATGTTATGAGATTATCATTAGTTTCACATTTGATTGTTGTCTTACAAGCTCAAGATTATCAACATTGTCACAGTCAATCACAGTCAATATCCAGTTAATCAGGGAACACACAAAAGTCTATCCAATTGTTTAACCCAAAAACCAGTTGCAAGTTTTTTCAACTGTAAACCAGAAAAAAAGAGAAACCAGAAAATGTTTAAAATCTAGAAATGTTGTCATCTTTACTTGTTATCAATTGTTGCCAGTTCACTGTTAATGTGAATGTGCAAGTTAATCAAATTAAATTATCAACTAAACGATTGTAGCTTTAAAGCTTTGCATTATAATTGCGATCGTTGCTAATGAAGCAAAATAAGACTGAATTTTATCCAATGTTTTTCGGTAATTAAGTTGAGACAAAGTTTAGTTGAAAATAGACGTTAAATCTGTATTGGTTGTTGGACAAGCTGACTACACTTTGAAACCTTCAAACAATTTAATTAAATGTCATCAATTGACAATAAAGGGAAGAGTAAAAAAAGGCTTTTGACAACAACTCTGTTCTCGACTTGATTATCAAAGTGAACATTGAGATGATTTAAAAAGATTTTTTCAGAACTCGATCTTTTTCTTCTTCTTCTTCTCTCTCTCTCTGTTTTTTCCTCCCTGTTTTACCATTCTTGCTTGTTGCTGTAAAACATTTCAACAACATGACAATAGCATGCTTTTTGAATCTCTTCAATTGTGATTTGGTTGAAATAACATATCCTGAGCATACCCTGAATTCATTATCCGTTGCATGTATTGACGTATGAATGGGAAGAAAAGAGGAAGAAGAAAATGAAATCAAGTGAAAAACTTTCTCTTTTTTCTCTCATTTTCTTCAATCGCTCACAAAAGTGAATAATTAAAACTGTAGTTTACTCCAATTGACAGATAATTAGATTCATTCAACCTTCTTTTTCCGCTAAAAACTCACAGTAAACTGGTTAAGTCTCCTTTATCAGAATGGAAACTTGAAAGTTCTTTGGTTTAATCGGAAAATGTGTAAAAAATTGAAACAGAATTGAGTGAAATGAACAAATTTTCATTTATCAAATTTTTCTTTTCATTTGTCGAGTATTTTGTATACTAATTGCAATGGTCATTATTGGAATTGAAACTATCTTTTGAAGCATGATTTAGTGAAACTCCATTTTTCAACATCAAAAGCATTCTTTGAAAATGAATGTTGCAAAAGCACGCAATCATGTTTTGTTAAAATTACTGAAATTTATTGAACTACAGAAATGACTGGGAATGCAATTTGTTTTATTCAACAAGATCGAGTGATTCGCAGTCTTTTTGCTTATTCAGCGAATCAAGATCTTCCCATTTTATAGTCAATTTTTATTGAATATCAGCTATTGAAAGTTTCTGATATTAAATTCAGTCGAGCTGGATGGATATAATGGTATAAAAAGTATATGAAAAGCTCAGAAGATTTTTTATAAAATTGTTTATTATTTTCTTTATGTAAAAACGATCATTTTAATGAGATGAAAATGAATTGAGATACTCTATCGATACTTGAATATTAGATGATATTAACGAATATATTTTCAGTAAAATATTTGTTTCGCTAGTTGAAGTGTGTCTCACATCTTCAATTGTTCATTTTCTGTCTACGATATTATTGTCATTCACTCATAAACTCAGAACCAAAATTTGAATCCATTAGATACTTTCTCTTCCATCATGAGTTTAGGATTCGTGGAAAATCATTGACTAAAAGTGGCCAGAAACAAAGTTCTTTAATAAAAATTCTATCCATCCATCTTACAGAGTTGAGAGGGACTAGAGAGGCCAAAAGACGAATCGAGCAGCTGAAAAAGGGCTTAAAAGAACCTCAATAATTGATTAGTCGAAGAAAATGAGAATAAAAAATGAGCCTGAAATCAAACCGATGAGCATATTGAGCAAACAAATGGAAGTCGCTATGGATCTCAAAAATCAAGACTCATGTGATTATTTCATGAAAGGCAAATCAAAATCTGAATCTGAGTAACAACATTTAGCTTGGGTGACAAAAGAGACAAGAAAATCTCTAATTGATGCACAGAAAACAGAAATCGTTCATTTTCACACTTCTGTTTAAAAAGACTGGTTGGACAAGTTGATCTAAACCCGCACTTTTCAGCACTTCTAGTGTTCGTAATGATTGAACCTTAATTTGTTTTCCTGGAATAGAAATGGAATAATGGAATTTCCTACGATTCAGCTTCCAATCCACAGTGATTGGAGTGAATAGAGAAAAATATTCTACTTTATTCGAACCTACTTTCGTTACCTGGATTATCACCTTATCATTTACCCATGAACATATTGTATTATATTGAAGGTGCATTTTAAATTAGTTTGGTCCAAATCTCCACTGACTTTCAAT